TTTCAACTTTGAACGAATAATGTAAGAGATCAAAAAAGAAAAAAGAAAGCCAACCAAGTGCAAAAGTAAAAAGCTAAATTATATAATAAAATAAGGTCTCAAAAATTAGCACAACGAAAATGGCACACATCAGAAAAACTAGAGTTTAATTCCGGCATATTTAGTGCTAATTTAGTACGAAAAAAAAAATTATAACTCTATTTTTAAAAAAATTGTGTGCATGTGTGCCAGCTTAAGATTAAGCTGGCACACTCTAGTTGGATAAGGTCGAATCTTTGAAAATCTAGTACCTCATATTAAGTGCTAATTTATTACATTCATGTCACGCCTAAAAAACTAACAATGATGTATTTATTACGAAATAACCACGGAAAAGTGCTAACTTAAGACTTGAATTAGTACACATACATCGAATCGACCGCGCGAGAACGGAATTCGCATGCACATATTTAGTGCTAATTTAGTACTTCAAAAACGACGACCCGAAACGAACTAGTATCACATCAGCACAGAGCTAACCCAAAATAACCCTAACTAACCCAAACTAACGTCCGAAATTAGCAATAAATGTGTGCTAATTTAGTACTCTAGTTTCATCGCGTCATCGGTAATAATGTTTAACTTAAACACTAAGTCAGCACACAAGTGCTAGCTCTGCGCTGATGTGATACTAATTCGTTTCGGATCGACGTTTCTGAAGTACTAAATTAGCACTAAATATGTACATGCGAATTCCGTTCTCGCGCGATCGATTCGATGTATGTGTGCTAATTCAAATCTTAAGTTAGCACTTCCGTGGTTATTTTATAATGAATACATCATTGTTAGTTTTTTAGGCGTGCCATGAATGTACCAAATTAGAACTAAATATGAGGTACTAGATTTTCAAAGATTCGACCTTATCCAACTAGAGTGTGCCAGCTTAATCTCAAGCTGGCACAAATATCCGTAATTTTTTTTTAAATAGAGTTATATATTTTTTTTTCATACTAAATTAGCACTAAATAGGCTCGAATTTAGTAACCTAGTTTTTCTGATGTGTGCTATTTTCGTTGTGCTAATTTGAGGAACCAAATAAAATAACCTATATATGTTCGATTGATTATTTTGTAATAGGTAACAGATAAAATGAAGAACTCAGCATAAAATATCTAGAAATAAAGATCTACATTTTTGATAATACTCAATACCCAAAATTGGGCTGGAACCTCAGACTAATAATAAAACTAGGGACCAAACATGCTATTTAGAAATCGCCCAATGTTTACAATCAATCATCTTTTAATTTATGACATAGGTAAGAGAAAGATAGACATATAAAACGGCAACACTGTCGTCAATATTACCACTACCAGTGGCGGCGAGTTCAGAATGTGATAGAAGTTCCACTTACAATAAATTACCATAACTACGCCAATGTCAAGAGTGAAATGATGTCAAATGTCTTACCGCCGAAATATTGAAATGTGATTGGAATCCTTACAAATAATACATCGACGTACCATTTCAACGTTTTCCACCACACTTTCCACGATTTTAGATATAAAAATTCCACTGATTAACATTCAAAATCACAAAATTAGCTCTATCACTTCACAGCAACACTGCCAAATCCGTTATGGATGACATAAGTCACATAAGATCATCTGATTAGCTGCTCGTAGATTCAACGCTGCCGATGTGTCGTTTTTCGTAGTGATGCCGCGAGACGAGACTAGACGAGATTTAGGGTTGGTCTCGTCTCGTCTCGACATTTCGAGACGAGACCGTGACTTAGTCTCGGTCTCGAATACCAGAGTCTCGCCTCGTCTCGAGTGGTCTCGTCTGGTCTCGAGTTATACAGGGTGTCCAAAATATAGTGTTAAAACTCTTCTCTACGTGGTGGAGGACCCTACAAGGAACCCCAGAAAAATATGTTAAAAAATCTAGTGGCATTCTTAAGAAAGTTATTTGCATTTTATTATTTATTGAAATTGGCAACACTGAAAATATGTCGTTGACAATATGTCAGAGAATTAAATTAAACACCCATGTAATTACCTGAAGAATTTAAAGGTAAATTTTCACATCTACCTCTTCATATTACCAAGAATAATGCTGGAGAAGGATTTTTTTAATTTATTTATTTTTCTAGGGTTTCTCAAAGGGTCCCCTACTACGTGGAGAGTTTTTACGCTATTTTTCGGACACCCTGTACTTATGGTTTTTATTTTTATATTATAACGGAAGTCCAAACTGCCACAGTGAAAAAGCAATTATTTCAGTAAAGAGTAACCGTGATATTTAATTTACTGATTTCATATTCAAATAGCCCAGAATAGTCCAATAATAAAGCTAATGAAAGAGAAAATTTTAAGTGTAATCTCGAGACTCGAGACTACACGAGACTCTCGCCGAGTCTGGTCTCGTCTCGTCTCGTCGAGACTTCCCGAGACGAGACCAAAAGCCAGTCTCGTCTCGAAAAGTCGAGACGAGACGAGACCAGTCTCGAGTCTCACGGCATCACTAGTTTTTCGAGCAATATATTTCTGGTTATTCTAGAATTTCCACCACTTAAAATTGAAAAAAGACTAACCTATCCTATTCAGAAAGGCATTTAAGTTATGTTTCAACAAGTATCGAGACGAAAACGCATTTGCATTATGTTAAAACATATTTTGAAATCATAATTATCCGTGAAGACATTTAATATTGAAAATCACATCAGATTATTGGCAACCACAGGGATTTCATGCAAAAATCGACCTCATAGATGTTGGATCGCAAATTATTTGTTTACTGTTGTATCTGTCGTTTTTAGTTGTTAATCTGTGGTTGGAACCTTCGGTTTTATGATATCAAATATCAAACATAGTTTTACCACTAATCAAAAATACATTACTTTTCTCGACAAGTATTTTGTTAACAATGTTAACGTCTCCGAGAGGAGAGAAACTAATAGCTATTTAGATATATATTGGTTTGGGTTAATTTTGAAATTATTATTATTTTCCAGGGTATAGGTTTCGTACACTAAAACTCTTGTATTCAACTTTTTTTGATACGTTAAATTATCAAGAAGTTAAAGAGTGTAGCAGTTCGTGATGAATATCAGTACAATAATTTTCCCAAACTGAATATTTCACGTCTTTGTTTACGCACTATAAAAAATTACTTTGTGAACTCACTAACTTAAAATTAATCAGCCACAACTTTTGAACGGCCCTGTATTAAGCAAAAAGGTTTTAATTGATTTATAAAGTATTTAAATACACTATGTACAGTGTGTCCCATTTAGGTTGTCCATAAGGGATAACTCGGTTGCTATTGGAGTTAGAAGGATGCGGTTTCCGCGAACGTTGGCTACTTTTTTGTCAAACGAAAGATGGCGCCAACAGAATTGTCATCGCTTTTGTTTTTCAGATAAGAGGTGTTTTTGAAAATGTTGCATTTTAGGACACTCCTTGTATCTTGGTTCTCTCATAGGTGATGGAAAAGGTGACAACGGTTCCCTATAGATATTTTTACGAAGCTTCCAGTGGCGTAGTCAGTCAGTCAGTAGTCAGAAGTCACTCTAGAAGTGACTGTTTTTAAATTATGAACCAAACATACGTTTATTCAAATGCGACACCCTGTATATTAATAGCTCATCGAATAGCTCTGTTTTTGCTGTTTCAATGATATAAAGTTCAATAGGTTTATCTCTATCATGTTCAGTGGCGCACCCGGGGAGGGGGCCATCGGGCCAAGCCACCCCCCTATAACTGTATTTTTACGTATATGGAATGTAGCAACATCAAGGCGTGGCACCCTGACATCTAATTTTTTTTTTAGATTTTCAGTCACAAGCCATAACCTTTGTAGGGCCCTCCAAACCTATTAGGCATTCCAGGTCACGTGACTTTGACAAGGTCCGCCATATTTGCTGAGGGGCAACCAAAGCCTATAGATGATTATTGTTTACAATGTTTTTTGAGTTTGTGCTTCGGAATTTTTGCGTTTTTTGATTTGTTCAATAAATTTTAAGTTGTTTTTAGTTTTTGTGAATGAATGGAATGAATGAATGAATCTTTATTTACAGACATGCCACTTCACATTTCAATTCAACAATAGTAAACAAACAATTTATTAACAAAAATAATGCTTAAGAATCTAAATTGTTTGAAAAATAAAAAAGTTTGATACTAACAACCTTACAAATCGAATATCATTGAAATCAGCAAAAGCAGAGCTATCCAATGAGTTTATAACATATAGGGTGTCTTATTTGAAAAAACGTATGTCTGGTTCATAATTTGAAAAATATCACTTCTTGAGAAAAACTGAGCTACGTAAAAATATCTATAAGAAACTGTTGTCACCTTTTCGATCACTTATGAGAGAACCGAGATACAAGGGGTGTCCCGAAATGCAACTTTTTCAAAACACCTTGTATCTGGAAAACAAAAAGAGTAATGACAATTCTGTTGGAGCCATCTTCCGTTTGACAAAAAAGTAACCAACGTTTGCGGAAACCGCATCCTTCTAACTTCAATAGCAACCGAGTTATCCCTTATGGACAACCAAAATGGGACACACTGTACAGAGTGTCCCAAATTCGAGCATTATCGAGCATTGGGATATTGGAAACGGTAAGAGATACAGAGTTGGTTAAATTATGGCAAAGTTGCGTAATTGATCCTTAACAAAATACCGTTTTGGGAATGTAAAAATTCCGAATATTTTACAAAAGCGTTTTTATTTTTTTCTGAGCTTAATTGAAGAGATATCCGAAAAAAAGTAGGTGATTTAGGTATACTAAATAGAAATTTTCACAAAATAGTCTTGAACATAACCAAAACTCATAGAAATTTATTATTAAATGCGTTTGCTAGTTATTTGGACATTTCTTATTGTAGATTTAAACACATTTATTCCTATATTTTGAGGAAGCTTGTTGAAAAATTTGATACCTCAAACCCAATAGCCATATAGTTTTTTTTTTATTTACTATAATAATTTATTTTATTTTTATTTTCCAGACAAGTTGTTTACAATACCCAAGCGCACAACAGAATAATCGAAGTACTTCTCTTGCACTGTGATTGGGGCGTGAAAGTTCCCGATTTTGCCTCAGCGCCTGCAATTCCACCAAGAAAAAAGATAAGTTTCATAGAAAAAGAAAAAAGTATGTCCTTACAAGATGCTGAATGGTACTGGCAAAATATTAACAGAGAAGATGTTAATGAAATGTTAAATGATACTGTTGATGGTACGTTTTTAGTCCGTGACGCGTCTAGCAAAGGTGGAGAATATACCTTAACTTTAAGAAAAGGTGGTGCCAATAAGTTAATTAAAATTTGTCACAGAGACGGAAAATACGGATTTACCGAGCCATATAGTTACAACTCAGTAGTGGAACTGATTAATCATTTTAAGACAGCCTCTCTTTCTCAGTACAATGCATCCCTTAATATTAAACTTATGTATCCTGTTAATAGAAGTAGAGAAGATGATAAAGCAAAAAGCGAAAGAATCGACAAATTGGTAGCAAAATTGGAACAAGTGCAAAAAAATTTAGTAGAGAAGCAGACCGATTGTGAGCAAGTGTCAAAGGATTTTAACGAAACTTCACAAGAAATTCAAACTCGGAAGCATTCTCTTAATGCTTTCAGAGAGTTAGTGAGAGTATTTGAGGAACAAACAGCTATCCAAGAGAAATTCCAGAGTAAAGCCCAACTTCATGAAATTAAAAGTTTGGAGCTAAATTCAGAATTGTTAAAAGAAAGATTAACCATGATGAAAGAGAGTTGTGAACAGCTAGAAAAAAATTTGCAAAGTAAAGAAGAGTATAGTAGGACGCGAGAGAGAATATTGACGTCTCTCAAGCCAGAAATTCATAGTTTGCGGAAAGAACGAGAGAAATATGTTCGATGGCTTCAACAGCGTGGATACCCACAGTCTAAAATAAATACAATAATAAATAGACATGGGGAAGATGATACAATAGAAGAAATAGAAACTGACATAGAAACTATGCCACACAATGATAAAAATACCTGGCTCTTACCTGATAGTTCTAGAGAAGAAGCTGAAAAATTATTGAGTGGAAAACCAGATGGAACATTTCTTATTAGGAAGTCTACAAATAATCATAACTACGTACTTGTAGTTGTATGCAAGGGTGCGCCGAACCATTGTATAATAAATAAAACAAATAAGGGATATGGGTTTACAGAACCGTATAATATTTACAATTCCCTTGTAGACTTGGTATTACATTATGCCACCAATTCATTGGAAATCCACAATGATGTACTGAAGACCGTACTAAAGTATCCTGTTTTTGCGTGTGAGGATGCATTTTTTTATTAATTTGCAGTTTTTTTTTTTGTGATACGAGCTGTGCTGACTATCAATTTTTTGTGATCAATTAAATCTTTAAAAGTTTCTTGTAACAAAGGGATACAAATTTATATTTACACTGGATACTAGTTATTATATATTAAATCGCCATGATTTAAATTGACTGTGATAGTGTACTAAAGAAAACTCAAAAACTTTTTAATGCAAATGGGAGTGTTGTTTGAGGTGAGACTTATTCAAACAATTTATGAAATGGCATATTTTGTGAGGAGCCATTTACCCATGGACAATTTTTTGAAATGATCTGTTATTTGATAATTTTAGCTATAAAAAAAAAACTTAAATGCTTTATACTATTCTAGATAAGAATAATGTGATTGGTGTCTGTTTTTGTCATAATGATAATTCTGTTTTAACTTTGCATGTTAGATATATTTTTTTATTTTCAATTGCATTATGTATTTTTGTATTACTAATTAATTCGGTATATTGCAGTATTACGAATACATTTATTCCAAAATTGTGGTAATGCAGTCAGAATGTACCAAATAATTATACATACAGTAGTCAAAATATTGATTTCCTGATACATACTTTGAATTGGAACCATGCCAAATACTGATGTTTGTAAATTCTGTGTTTGTCAAAAATGTTATTATTTTTTGGTATATTCTGACAATATTAACATAATACAGTCAACCATTTTTTGGTATGACCTGATTATGTATACACATTAAGAAGTACTGTAACTATATTTTTTGAAGGACTTCAGAGCTTTGTCCTGCTTAAACTATTCGGATATGCTTTTTTATTTCAATTGATATGATTTTTTCTACTATTTATGTATGCATATTGTTGTTCCATTATTCAAATATTGCTTTAAACATATATTTTATACTATTGTTCTGGCTTTTCCTATTAATATGGGGGCTTCATCTAGAATTTATTTTTATTTCTTTTACTAATACAATAAAAAAATATTTCATTTTTTTTTTCAGTGAGATAAGGAAGGGAACTTCTAGGTTATAAGAAAACAAAATTTTTTGTACATATTTCCATGCAAGACAAATTAGTTCCTTTGTCTGACAAAAATTAAGAAACTTCATGTGCAATGTAGTTACAATCTAATATATCTATATCATAAAAGTAGACAATTAAGTTTTAAGTGTCAGGTATCGCTTACTTATTTCATTTGGTTCTGTATTCTAAAACGCAATAATCGATGTACGCCCATACTTTTGGAAAAAAAGTGATAAAAATGCTACCTGCAAAGCTGTACAGCTGAACCAAGGCGGATTTTTTCTCAATAGTATTTATACATCTATTTATCTATACTTTATTTTTTCCCAAGATAGACTTTGACATTGAAAACTTTGAAACATAAACAATAACGCTTGACCCTGATTGGTCGCAAAATGAGGTGTTTATGCAGGTTGACATCAGTTTTACAATAGCGGCCAATAAGTGGCATTAGCGGCATTGTTTATGTTTCAAAGTTGACAATGTCAAAATCTATCTTGGAAAAAATAATGTATAGTTACTTTATAATGAATAATTGACATTTAGATTTCAATTGAAACTTAACAAAATAATTTCTCTTTACTCTTTGAAGTTTTACCTTTGTCGTTTAATTTTTTTCTGTAATTAAAAATTTGCTTTCCAAAATGCTGTACAGCTAAGTTCATTAGGCAACTAATTTCTTTGTCACTCATATCTATTCTTAACTAAGTACATACATCGAACACTTGAAGTGATACTGTTTCATTTTCTATACATATTTTTTATTTGCCATTGCCCCTTATTTTCTCTAGTTAATTGTAAGTATACATTCGGAATTGCATGAATTGAAGTTACTTTTTTGTTATTTTGTTATATACATATTTATCTTTTATTTTCCTTGCTCATTTTAGGAAAAGAAACAATTATTGTTTCTAATTTAATAGAACATACAACATACCTATTATTTCAAATAAAATAAAAAAATAATATAGAGTGCATTTACTAGATGTTGAAAAAGGGTTAAAGCATGAAGAAAAGGTTAGATTAATTTTTAAAAATTTAGAAATATCTTTTTATTTGAATATTTTCTTATTTATTATACCTTTTGAAATGTGTTTTTGTAGGGAATGGCCCAATAGTAATGCTATGTTAAAAACTGCGTTCATTTTTGGAAATACACAATTGAAGAAACTTGTAATTGTAATCTGAATATTTGACCAAGGACTCACTATTGAGTTTAATTTCACTTAGAAGGTCTTAGTAAAACTAAACGCAGTTTATTCCGCTCCTCGGGATTATTTCCCGAGCAAGGCCTTCTTTAATAGGTAGTTACTCGTTTTATAGGAGTAAAAAGGTACTAAAAAAGAAAATGTATTTTAAAAAAAGAAAGATTTATTAGCTGTTTTTATTGTGATGGATATTTTCATGTGTTTTCTAATACGCAAAACTTCACTATTGCCATATATTTAATCCCTGGAAATACAAGGTAGAAAATTATAAGTTTTTCTTTTTTTGTTTTAGGGTGAAGCTTTTTTCAAAAAGTTTCACTGGATTACAGATTTCGGTTGTAGATCTTATTATGCTTAAACTATGTAACAACTAACTTCAAGTTCAACTGGTATCAACTCATTCATGCTTTAACTTTTTATTGCCGCTTTAAATATTGTTAGCTCTACCTAGATTCCATAATATATATTATTGTTGTTAGCTACTTCATTAAGGGTCAATACTATAAATTGACTTCCAGCTTTTCATCTTTGAAGGTAGGCTAGATTTTTCTGAGGTCATAACAGTATCATAATGTTATTGATGGCACACAGAATTGAAAATTACACAAGAAAACGCATAAAAACACTAAAATCGATACTACATGACTTGATCAGAACTCTCTGTGTATTTCATTTTAACACTATAATATATAGGAATTGTTTACGGATATTTAAATGTTTATTGTTATTGGTCTTAGAAACATGATTGATTTTTTTTTTAAATATTAAAAAGGCAGAAATAAAAATGGTCATTCCTACAAAATATTAATTATACTCCTATCTTAGATTTGAGCTAATATCGCAAATCATACACTAAAAGAAAGAATTTGTTAATCACATCCTGTAAAAAATATTATTCTCCAAAACATTTTTCGCTAGCAGAATTATGGTGCAAGAGTAAGTTTAGCTCGGTTCCTTCCGAGATAAGTGACAAATCCAATATCAACATTCTTGCATGAAGGTGGATACTATCATCTACAAAGGTTATGTTAAAAAATTTGTTTCCTGTGTAATATGGTGTATGATGTTTAGGTCAAGTCTATAATCTGGATTTTTTAATTTTTTTTTCTGATTTATTTCAAAATGTTGAGAAATATTGTGTAATATTTTAACACATGCAAAATATTTGTGAACACCTTGTACTTTAAGTCAACGGAAAACGTCCTCCGATGTTGATGTTCAGGGATCATCTGCCAAAAGTTTGCTCTTTTTTTTTTAAGGCTAGCCCCTGGCAGATTTTGATAGTGGTGGTTCCTGGAAATATCAAAATTAAAACGAGAAAACCTAATTCTGTATGTGACATTTGTGTAAAGGATTATTTTTAAGACGCATTGTAAAAATTAGAATACTCGACCTGTAATGATAATACTTGATGTAAGGGAATCAATAAATTGCTTCCCTAGGGGGCACCACTCAGTACAAGTATTCATTGTACTGTATTTTATGTTTGTCACAATGTCCATGTTTGACTGTGTCATTACTAATAATAGAATTACAGCATTTTTACTAGGTGTTTGTGAAATACAAAATCTCTCAAATTAGAAGTTTTTATTTTACTATTGATCTCAAAAAAAATAGTGCTCATTCAAAATCCTTGAGAAATTTTGTATTTTAGAATTATAGATGTCCCTAGAAAAGTTGTTGTCTAGCTTTGTACATACAGGCTTTCAGTGGCAAATTACCGAGACTGCATACCATTTTCGTCGGTTTTTAGCAATGTCAACCAACCATTCTGGTTAAGCCAGAGACGGTATCCAATCTTAATAACCAAATAGGTATCACAAAGAATTACATAAATGTCACATATAGATTTACCGTTGTTCTTGTAGAATGGAGATGAGACTATAAATTATCCTATTGATTTTAAAAACATTTAATGTTCTTATATTTTGATATTTATAATAATTTGACTATTTTCATTTCACATAAAATCCATGATTAAAAAATTGAATCAATTATTGTGTGTTTTATTTTGTCAATATACCTTGTATGTAGACCCTTATCCATAATTTTCTATAACCATTGGCAAAGGGGTTGAGACATTTGGCATGGCAAACAAAATTAGCTGAACAAGTCAAACACGAAATAGTTTCTTGAGAGAATAGACCTATCTATTGTTACCTGTATGCGCGCGCAACACGAGGCAATGCATTTTTATTGGCTAACTAATACAGGTGAGAGGTGTTCGTTTTGCACTCTAGGCATCTCCTTGTCTTTGTTCATTGCCCGTGGTCTGACAAGGATCAGAATTATGGTTGATAAATAACTTGACGTAGCTTGACAAGTGATCGATTTTCCATTGTTTGTGTTTTTGATTGACAAATACGTTGCACGTCACGCGGTTTTCCTCCTTCCCTTTCTATCCTGTGCAAATAATAAGAAGGGATTGCTATACATAAGTCTAACATGGTTTGGTACGTTTTGCCTCGTCTTACGCAATAAGCGTTCTGCGTCTTTTTCTATGTAATAAAGTTTTCGTATTAATAGCTTTGTTCGCGGGTCCGATTCCGAATCGGTTCAGGGACTATTCGCGTTTTAATTGATTCGGAATCGGTTCTAGCAGTCCCAGGATTTTTGTTAGGACTAAAAGTTCGGTTCGGCTGCTCATGCGCAATTTCGTCAGATTCGTCAGCTGACTGGTGTTTATTTCTGTTCGCGTTATTGAAATTTGGGTTTTTTAATTGTTTATACGCTGAAGCGATAAACTAAACTATACGCTAGTTTTTTCCCAGGGAGTTTATAGTTTACTGAATTTGCAGTACATGCAGTATTGTAAGTTACTTATATTTCTATTTAATCTAATATATTTATTTATATGCACAATTTTAGTGATTTTTTTTCATTAAAGTACCGACTAGTCGGGCCATTTGTCATCTAACGATGAGGACAAGGAAGAATTAGAGCTTGTTTAAGTTCCTAAAAGCAATGTAATTTAAAGGAGGTGATGCCACATTTCAGGAATGAACAATGTATAGAGCATTTTCGAATTTTGAATAAATATAAATATTATATCTGTTCTGTTATTCTTTTTGATTTATGGAAATCAAATGGCTAAGGTTCAAAAATCAGCAAAAATCACCTAATGTTTAAAAATATTCGGCTTTCGGTTCCGAAATCGTTCGCGGTAAAAAGAAATCCTGAACCGATTCTTAACTAGGCATGCGCTCTACGACAATCCCGAATTAGTTCTGAACCGATTCGGAATCGGACCCGCGAACAAAGCTATTACCTCTTTTTCTGGTAAAATAGATAGGTCTATTATATATTTCAAAAAAAAAAAAAATATATATATATATACATTAGCAATATGATCCGACGCCCACTACAATTCATGGATGAGTGGAAGCCCGGTAATAGGGGCAGGGGACGAAGGTGTATAAAAAAAGTATATTTCATGTATGGAGTGAATCCCGCAGATACGTCCCATCTAATACGAGTCGAGATCAAATCTGAAGTATGTTGAACTGTGCTGTATTATGTGTTCCTCAAAATTTCCATATTCGGTGATTTTCCGACAAAATCCTACTGGGGGCTGAAGTGTGCTGATGCTTGCATTCTTACTCCCTCACTTCTTCCTGTTTTAACACACGCAAGGAGCCACCATGATGCAGGTGATGTGGGTGTCAAAAATTGTCTGGTACTAATTGGTTATTTTTCCTCTCCAAAAACAAACGAAATGATTAAATCGAATGTTTGTTTGCTTGGTAACTGCAGGAAATTCACAAATAACCAACAGTTTTGTTGTATTATTTGACAATGAAGGCATGTGCATCTTTAATTTATTTCATTTTTTTTTTAAATAATATTCGAATTAAAAAATTACCTACTCGCCCTCGTACATGAAATCTTGTATGAACCACAGGCGCGAATGGTGTTTGCGGCCCCTGGCATAGTTAATGCCCTCGGCTGCTCCTCGTGCTTCAATTCCCACGCGGCGGGCAGCAAACACCCTAATTGCGCCCTTGGTACATAAATAACTATTATGTCATACCAGTACATTATTGTCTTTTTATACCTTAGATACCATCTACATAATTCATCACTTTATGCCCGTGCGGGCATAAAGTACACATTCTGGCCCGCGCGGGCCTAATGTACCATTCTAAACATCAGGTTGACAATTACGCCGCAAATGACGTCGTTTGCGTGTACGCAAAGTTGCATCGATTTCAAATAATGTCCTCCTGGTATGACATAAAAGTTTGTATGCACCACGGGTACAAATAGATATAACTATACCCTCGGGCGACTTACGAACCCTCGAGCCAGAGGCCCTCGGCTTTGTAAGGCTGTCGCCCTCAGGGCATAATCATCTACTTAGTACCCTTGATACATAAATAACTATTGTGTAATTATTTGTATGTTTTTATTTTTATATTTTTGAATTTTTTCGTTTTATTTTCCTATATGTGTTCCTACTTTCATATTTTTGCATTTTTGTATTGTGAGATGATAATAGAACGCAGTATTAGTGTATTAATGTTTTAATTTTTTTTTTAAATTTCATTCCAAAGCTGAGCGTTAAGTTAGCCATCCATTAGGTTTTAATCGGGAAATGGCCAAAAATGGAAACTTGATCAGGCACAGTTCAGCACACTTCAAATTTAATAGGAATCCATTTTTCTTTGCTCTGATTTTCAAAATTTGGGTGGGGGGGCTGAGCGCCAAGTTAGCCTCCTTTTAAGTTTTTGTCGGAAAATGACCGAATGTGGAAGTTTTGAGAAAAGCCTGATACAGTACAGTTCAACACACTTCAGAATGGATCATAATTCAATCTTAATTAATCTGATTTCCAAAATTTTGGGGGGACTGAGCGTCAAGTTAGCCCCCAGTAGGATTTTGTCGGAAAATGACCGAATATGGAAATTTATAAGAAATGTAGTTTCTAGTAGCCTGTTTTCTTCGTCTGGTCAGATTTTTTCAATGTTTTTGAGGAAAATTTTTTATAGCACAGTTCAGCATACTTCTGATTTGATAAGAATTCAATTTAGTTGATTCTGATTTTCAGAACTTTGGGGGGCTGAGCGTCAAGTTAGCCTCTCAGTAGGATTTTGTAGGAAAATAACCGAATAAGGAAGTTTTGAGGAAAATCTGTCACAGCACAGTTCAGCGACTTCACATTTGATAAGAATTCAATTTTGTTTAATATGACTTTCAAAATTTTGGGGGCTAAGCGTCAAGTTAGCCCCCCAGTAGGATTTTGTCGGAAAATGACCTAATCTGGAAATTTTGAGAAAAAACCTGATACAGCACAGTTCAGGACACTTCAGATTGGATGAGAATCCATATTGATTTTATCTGATTTCCAAAATTTTGGGGTGCTGGGCGTCAAGTTACCCCCTCATTGCTTTTTTTTTCCTATAACTTTGGTATCGAAACGGCACAGTTGAAAATATCATCGGAGAGTGAAGCACAACACTTCGAGCATAGTAAGTGGTTGCAATTTTTTTTAGAAAATTCGAATGTAGGGCCTGTGGGGGGCTAGCTTGTCGCAGCTACTATCACTTCGTTATAAAGGGATAGTATAGTAAAAATTTTAATTTTACTTTCTTCAACCATGCATTTAAACTCTTATCAAGTATCGGCTCACTACGAAAGCTTAGATCTGCCATGCTAACATTGAAAAATATTTTTAGGAAAATTTACACTTTACCTGCAAATTTACACTTCTGTAAATTTAAACTTTTTCTGTAAATCTAGTTAATAGTTAGGGTTAGTTTGGGTTAGCTTGTAATTTTGATCAGACATTTCCCAACTTACCAATAACAACCTGGTTAGTTTGGGTTACTTTGCAATTTTAATCAGACGTTATCACCAAACTTACCGATAATATCCCGGTGAGGTTGCAGTTTTTTTAAGAAGACATTAATAAATTTTCAACGATAATAACCCGGTTAGTTTGGGTTAGCTTACGATTTTAATCAAACATTACCATTATGTTTTCTAAATTATTGATTTTCGAAATATTAATTTTCGAAATAAGCGCTTTCGAAAAGGTTAATTTTCGAAATAACAGCATTCAGAAAAAATCGAAATATGTATTTTCGAAAATTGAACATACATAGAGGACTGATAAATATTGCGAACTTATCCAAACTAATCAGGTTATTGTTATTGTTGTTGGTAATGTCAGACTAAAATTGCAAAAGAACCCAAACTATAACCGCGCTATCATTGGGAAGTTTAAAAATATTCAATTGAAATTGCAAAGTAACCCAAACTCACTGGGTTATTATCGGTGGGTTTGGTAATGTCTTCTTAAAACTGCTAACTAACACAAACTAACCGGGTTATTATCGGTAAGTTTGGTAATGTCTTTTTAAAACAGCAAACTAACCGGGTTATTATCCGTAAGCTTGGTGATGTCTGATTAAAATTGCAAGTAACCCAAATTAACCGGGTTATTATTGATAAGTTTGGAAATGCCTGATTAATTATTGGTGAGTTTGTGAATAGCTAATAGCTGAATAAAAATACATACTAACTTAACCTAACCGGGCTTATCGGTAAGTTTGGGAATGTTTGAATAAAATTACAAACTAACCGGGTTATTATCGGTAAGTTTGGTATTAGATAAGTCTTCCTAAAACTGCAAACTAACCCAAACTAACGGGCTTATTATCGTTAAAAGTTTATTAATCTTATCATCTTATACGAGTAAAAATTGTATGTAGGTATGTATTTTCACTCATGCTATCTTGAAAACGGCTTTAACAATTTTCTCGATAGTTGGTATTTAAGGGTTTTTTAACCTCAGGAATCCAATGGGCTTGGTCCAATTTTCCGGAAAACCCGATTCAACTGTCAAATGTGACAGCTGCAGATTTTTGAACCATTTCTTCGCAACGAATTTTGCTAAAATTTTGCATACACTCTAAGTTCGGGTGATAATACATTTTAGTCCACTAATGACAGATGTCAACTGTCAAATGTGACAGGTGCAGAATTTTTAATCATT